AGGGCTTGCTTGGGGTCTTCGGGTTCAGGCTCAAGCACACTGCAGCTGCTGTCACACTCCTTAGCACAACGGACCTCGCAGTTTCACTTTTCGCCGGCGCATCATGGCAGTTTTGCATGGCTTCTGCTGCTCGACCGCACAGCTGGCTTGCACACTGCATTCTAGGCTTTGGGGCTGTGTGATGGACAGAAGAACTCACCTGCGACCCACCTTGCTTGGCAAAGCTTGATTTGGAAAACGACTGAAGAAAAAGAAGAATTGAAATCCTGAAACTTCATAGGGCCAACGGATGGGCTTCTGCCCATGTGTTATTATGTAGGAGGACGCTATCGTTCTGTGGGCAGTCAATTTTCGTCGAAGGAGGACGCTTAAATTACATGGATGCTTCCCTTATGTCGATGGCTAGCTGCAGAGCTGGCTTTGCCTTCGCTTCGAAAGACATGCCCTTAGCTATACAGTACGTCGAGAAGAAGTACCAGGCCCAGTCACTCACACTAGCAGCTGAGGCACTGTGAGCCTTGTTAAACCCAATACAAGACAGCATGAAACGAACTATACCAAATGGCGTACTGGAAATACAACCAAATTTCGGGTGATTTCAAAGCCCGGGTTGTGAGGTTCAGAGTTCCATGCCGTGTGCTTTGCGGCTTTCGAATCTACAACAATTACTACTACTACTACTACTACTGCTACTACTACTTCTACTACTACTACTACTGCTACTATTACTTCTACTACTACTACTACTACTTCTACTACTACTGCTATAAAAATCAGAACAACTACTGCTGCTGCTGCTGCTGCTGCTATTCAATTGAAACAAAACCACTATTACTATTACTACGACGACTACTACCACTGCTACTACTACGACTACGACGACGACTACGACGACCACCACTACTACTACTACTACTGCTGCTACTACTACTACTGCCACTACTACTGCCACCGCCACTGCTACTGCTACTGCCACTGCCACTACCACTACCACTACTACTACCACTACTACCACTACCACTACCACTACCACTACCACTACTACTACTACTACTACTACTACTACTACTACTACTAGTACTAGTACTAGTACTACTACTACTACTACTACTACTACTACTACTACTACTACTACTACTACTACTACTACTACTACTACTACTACTACTACTACTACTACTACTACTACTACTACTACTACTAACTACTACTAACTACTACTACTACTACTACTACTACTACTACTACTACTACTACTACTACTACTACTACTACTACCACTAACTACTACTAACTACTACTAACTACTACTAACTACTACTACTACTACTACTACTACTACTACTACTACTACTACTACTACTACTACTGCTTACTGCTTACTGCTTACTGCTTACTGCTTACTGCTTACTGCTAACTGCTAACTGCTAACTGCTGACTGCTAGTACTACTGCTACTACTAATACTACTACTTCTACTTCTACTTACTACTTACTATTCCTGCTCCTGCTGTTCCTGCTGCTCCTGCTCCTCCGGCTCCTAGTCCCGCTCCCGCTCCCGCTGCTCCCGCTGCTGCTGCTATTCTTCGCCATGGCAGTGGCAATTACCGGTGGCCTCTGTTAGTTTCTTGTTTGTGGGTGCTTGGTTCCTGGTGAACTCACCTTTGTCTGAACGCCCGAGTGCTGGGATGCTTTAACTCAACCGAAAGTTAAGTTCGTGGCAGGTTTAGGCTCAGCTCACCTTGAGAATTGATCCTGAGTTTAACATTGACCCACGAGTAAACCGGGGTCACGAGACCTGAGAACCCATCGAGACCGCATCTGTCTGAAGCGGTTCCAACCTGAGTCTATGGGTTGACTTTTGGCCAGCCAGCTGTGGAGTACCGAACACCCCTCCCCTCCCCAAAGCAGTAAACAGTTGGCCTCCGCCTGCTGGTGCGCCCAGATTGGGGCTTAGGGCTGCAAGGGTGCATGTTTGTGCCTGCGTAAAAAATACCACTTCGGGTTTACGGGTTACTTCAAGGCGGGGCACGGTTTCAAGTTTATGCAAATGTCTGCTCAAGAAACCGAGCTGAGCAGGATGTTGTGAGCCGGTCAGAGCATTCGGGTTGATGATGTCACGGTTCGGACATGTAGACAAGTTCCGAAAACAAGGCCTCAAATGTGTCAACTATAAGATTAGGCTGGAGCATATTCAATGTCTGGGAGTTCCAAGCCATCCTACTCTGCATTCCCGCACACGTCAAACCCTTGCAAGTCCACCCGCAAATTGAGAAACTCAAACTATAAAGCATGATTTTCAATGGAACTAAACTAGGTTGAGTTTTGGATACTGGCGCCGTGCACACACCTCTCAATCCTTGAAAGCTTTCGGAGGGTTGCTGGGTTTATAGGGTCTGGATCACGTAGGTTGACGGCGAGGAACAAGTTTTGGGGCTTGCCTGTAGCCGCAAACTCTCAAAGATGGCAGGTTGCCAACATCACTCGAAAGGTATAGAAATACTGGGTATGGCTCCTGGACCCTATATCCAAACTCTCTTTTCTACCCTGACCCTCCTCAGCGTAAACCCTAGCCCTAGACCTCTCTTGGTTGTCATGCATTTGCGATCCTCTGGCTCGGACGCGAAAACAGCAGACAGTCACGTTCAGCTGGCAAGGAAGCCAGAGAAGGTATGGTTAAAGGTCTAAGCGCCGTGAGCCAAATCCCGCTACAGTGAACCCTGATCTCAGAACTCGAGGCACTCTCGAATTGGAGCAACGCTGGAAGCTCCAAGCGGCTTCAGCTCATGATGAGTATGGCGTGGGAATCCGGGCTCGTTGATTTTATTCTTAGGGCTCGGGGCTTTCCGGTACGGCAGCCATGTGCACATCTACAATCGAAATTTATCGAAATCTCCCCCCCTCCCCTCCCTTGAAGAGTTTGTGGCTGGGCGCAGCTTTTACCTTCCAATCAAATGCTACCCACAAATCCTAGAAGCCCGGCCTCTAAAACCCCGAACTCTGAAATCCGAACCCTTGAACACCAAGACCCTACTCATCCTGACGTAAAACCACAAAGTTGAAGCATCATTGTTAGCTTCAACCCTCTGTTTCAACTTGTCGGCGTTAACGGTATTAGCTTAAACCTCGGCATGTGCTTCTCCGATTTCCTGGACCGGATTAAAGAAACCGGAGGAAGCGCAAAAGCCTCACAGGATCCCTCCATCATAGTTAAGGCTTTGGATCTCCACTTGTCAGCATTTGGGGGCTCTCAAGCTGAGCGTGACTTTCAAGGTGTTGACTTTCAGAGCGGCGTCACCTTTGGGGTACGTGCAAAGGGAATGACTTCAAAAACTGCCCATGAGCAAAATAACAACAAAAGCAACCTCTTCCGGCCCGCTTGCATCTGCTTCGCTCCCTCTATGCTCAAACCTCTCTTGAGGGGCCTTGGTTCTGCAAAAACATCGTCATAATTATACCAGATAGGACTGATAGTGGAGCATATTGTTGCACATACTGGCTACTCAGATCTCTAGATTAGGATCCTCGTGCTTCTGCGCTTTCTTCAGCGGAGGCGGCGGACATCGTTCGGACGTTGCAGCCGGGTGAGGTCCTCAAGATCAGATGCGAGGGACCTTCCTTCATTTACACGGATACATGTCTGTGTGTGTGCCAGGTTCACTATGTGTATGTGTGTGTGTATATACATACACATGTTTGTCAATGCGGGGGCTGGATACATGCAATACAAATGTAAGTCAGAGTAAACGAGTTAAAAGAATACATAAGGCCTACGTACATACATACACAATGTGCTTATTACGCGAATATGCACACCTTTATGTTTTCTTTCATCAATAGCTACCTGTGTTCTGTTTCCATATTTTCTCGCTGTATATATATATATATATATATATATACACACATACACATATATGCATGTATGTTGGGGACCTATACACTTCGCGGAAATCTGGGCAGTTGCTCAAACTTATGCACAAATGCGATGCAACATCACCGATGGAGGCAAGGTGCAAATAACGCGGCAGAGCCAAGGGATTCGACCAGAGCTGATGCTTGCATGCTTGTTTTGCAGAAGCGCCTGCGCATGGAAGCAACAATGAGCTTGTAAAAGCGTCTTGTGTCGATTCATTTGGCTTGCTCGGTCTTGGGCAGCCTTGAATTCTTTCATTCAGAGCACTTCTGATACTCTTACATACTGCCACATAGGTGGTGCTATAAACAATGATTTTCCATGTTGGCTCCATTTCCGGATGACTCCTCCCCTTCGTTTGCATGTCCATTGATGGAAACTGCTATTGTTTTCCTCATGGACCACCCCTTCGTTTTGTTTTTTCGTGCCTGGAAAACGTCATTATTTCCCTCATCGGCCATCCCTCGTTTTCATTTTCGTTCTTCCAAAACGAAGGCCCCACAGCAAACAACACGAATCCTCAGGACTCTTCATTTTGGCCTCCGTTTTGGGGGTCGGCCTAGGTTTTGGGGACTCGCGCAAGGGTCTCGGAGCACCGCGAGGCATCTTTGTAGACTAGGGTTTTGCGGCCTGTTCTACTATAATCATACAGGGACTGGAAGTGAATACTTGGGTCTTGCTTGGACTCAGTGTTGCCGGGCTCCACACGCGGAATTGTGCAGCTGGCTTTCAGGGGCTTTAAGGGTTTCAGGAATTATGGATGGAACGGCAGGGATTTAAGGGTTGGGGCCCGGCTCTTGGACGAGGAATCGAACCTACAACCGAAAATCACACGTTCACCCACTGGTCGCAAGCCAGGTTCCCCAAAAGTACCACTGGCAAGTGCAACCTTCAAGCCCTAAACCCTCAAACTCCAAATTGAATCTTCAAGCCAAAAACCAACAACGAAGTGGTCCTCTTCTTCATTAACCTCTAAGCCCCGACCCTGAAACCCGAGACTCCCCACCCCACCCTACCCCACCTTACAGTGAGCCCCTGGCCATATACCTTAAAAATTAGCCCCGTCCACTTGGCCTCGCCGGAGCGATTCAGGTCGGCCACGTAGCTGCGATAGTGGTATTCCAGCGGGGCCTGCCCCGTTGTTTCATGGCTTACGAATAGTCTTCTTCCAATTGCCGGTTTCGAGCTTCGGGTTCCAGGGTGTGGGTGCTGGGGTTCTACTGAGATGCGTGCACACCTAAAGACCCTAAGGTTTAACATGTTTAACAATACGAACATCTTGACAGGTTTGGGTAAGAGCTCTAACTCGGAGCCGACAAACTTCAGGTTCAACAAGTTTACGACGAGTTTCTGCACCATCGCGTTTGAGTGAAGCGCCAGATCCCCAAACCCTCTAGGCCTTAGAGTTTAGGGTTTTGTGTCCTGTGGCAACACACAAAAAGCTGCAGACCCTTATTATATGACGTGGTGATAGAGCATCACGACGCCCGCGACGACGACCGCTACGACAACCAGCACGACCACCAGGAGACCGCCAGGACACCACGGCCGCCCCTATCTACCGGCGGCCAGAATGCCTCACCCCATCTACTGGCGGGGATTAGAACAGACAAGATACTTGCCCCCAAATACTGGCGAGATTCAAACATTTCGGGGTCAAATGTTGATCGGCTGTCCAGGCGACGCGGCTGCACGGATCCTATGTAGAGATAATACTCCGCGAACACAAACTATGCGCACTGCGTTACCAGTGCACGAACCCTATATGGTGCACCACCCTTACTGCGCACATGTCTCCACTAGCCCTGAAGCCCTACATACCAACGGTGAACACCCAAATTGCTCAGAACTGACGGGCAACAACCCACACCGCGCTTTGGGGCTACGACGATGCCTAGAAGATACCGAGACCTCGGTAACCTGCTCAAAAACAAGAGTCACCCCGGCCCCTCTGAGTCTGGAATTGAAGATTCGTGGGCGAGTGAGAAGCCTCCACACCTGAAAGCCCAAGGTATGAATCACGGAGCCACCCCCCTTTGCTGCAAAACACAGCATCACACATAATTCAAACCACTATTATGTCTTACAGATCCCGAACACCCAAAGAACTTCCGAAACTCCGAAGCAAAGAGCCTGCGTGGGCGCTTCGCTGGCTCCGGCTCAGGCCTGACATTCGCAGGGAAACTCAGACTTCTGAGGTCAGACCAGACACTTCTTTCTGATGGCGCAGGCACTATGAAAGTCAGGCCTACAGATGTGCGTTGGGGTTCTGCAGGAAAAGCAAGTCAGTGAAACCCTAGATCATTTCATCGGTGGTTGAGCCATGGTCTCAAGGGGTTCAGGTTACGGCTTTCCCGTTGTTCGAGGCGGGTGTGGTTACGGACTAGTGCCTGGGGCTTGGGTTTAGGTGTTGGAGTCAGAATGCAAGATGTGTTCGCGTAGGGTTTGGGGTTTTGGGGGGGTCGGATTACGCCGACCTAGGTCCTAGTAGCCTATCAGTTGTTTACGAAAAACCTGCATGAAGTTGCAAGCTGCATTGTTTAATAAAAGCATGCAGCTCGGAAATCACGATCCTTTGTCTTACTTAATAAACGCCTTTGAATGTGGAGTTTGGACCGATGTCAGGAGGACTTCGCTGCAAGGTTGCATGTCGGTCGCACACACAGAGCCAGCTCGCCCTAGAGCCGCAGACCCTATGTCGCCATTCGCTGTGCGTAGACCCCTTGATGGTATCGACATCTTCACACCACGCAACGATGGATTGCCCACCCCGGAACCCCAAGCCCCACACCTCAAGACCTACATGCCCCAAGCCAAACAATAAACGTTGATTCCCTGAATCTGTTTTAGAGCACTGCCTTTCTTCTGTACAGCTGGGAGCCGGCTCGTCACGCTTCTCTTCCTCCCAGACCGGATTCAGGTTACGTATCATATGAGTGTTATGATCGAGAGCGGTTCTCGAAATCTGGAAGTTCGTACAATCAGGATCCTAGACTTATAGAACTGTATAGTTCTACACGAGGTCTTGTGTTTTGCTGAAACTCCTTTTTGAGGTCTTGAAAATGCACAGGGCTTACGGGTTTGCAGCTTGCAGACATTTTCAGCTTGGCAGAGTTGCGGTTGCTTCGTTTACGAGGTTTGTGCTTTGCTGTCAGGCTTGGTGCCTATGGCCGTGCGACATTTTATCAACTCAGAGGTTAGCCCAAGCCGGGGATTTTGCCGCCGCTCTGGCGCTCTCGCCAAAACCCTAACTTATATTGCGACAGCGGACCTGTAGATCTTGGGCGTCATGCCATTCGACTGGAGATTTGAGACGTGTGAGAAAGGCCTCCTGTTGAGATTGGACCCCAAACTCCGTGATGTTGTCCTGACACACACAAGAATCTGCGTGCATCCGACGCTGTTAATACGAAAGGTACTGCAGCAACCGCACCATCTCTGCGAAAGCCTGGCTCCCGACCGCATTCCGAAGACCCCATAGGTATATGCTGACCAACGTACATGAAGATACAGCAAGCCAGACGCAACTGCATGAAGTTTCCAAATCTAAATGTTCTGCACACTAAGGCCTCAAGATTGAGATTTTAGTTATCAGTAGCCGCCACATCAACCCAACACAAACGTCGAGTCTATGCTGAGGACCAGAAGTCCCAAACCCTAAACTGACTAAATGACCGAACCGAGACACCCTAAAGCCCCGACACATCATGCCTGTGCTTTTCGCCTTCCCCGGGCATTCTTTGTCCCTCCGAAGGCAGCCTGACAAAGGCTTTGTTCACGTTTTGGTGCAAAGGGTAGTACGTAGGATTTGGTGGGTTGTTGTCTGTCTACCCTCACCCAGAAGCCGCAAACTACAAGCCGCTCATGTCCAGGGACGCCGAGAAAGGGGCCTCGATACGGTGTTCAAGCATCGTTCCGCTACAAAAAAGAATCCACCGCAACAAGACCCCGCTCAATCTTCCGAAGCCCTAAATGCAACTCCAAGCTGTTTCGAAGCATGGGTCCTGTCGAAGCCCGTGTTCCAATTCCGGAAGACCACAGCCCAAGTTACTCCAAGCCGCGAGGGTCCAGGTTTTGCGGACAATAGCTTCGGGGTTTGGGGTCCCTGGGTCTCGTGCATGGTACGATCTGGGCAAGCATCGTCAACTAAGCTTGCACTCTAAAACTCAATGGCTGGAGGACCTGTACTTAGACTGGCATCCCCAAACACTCGAAACGGGACAGGGTTTTGCGGGCCGAGGGCATTGAGTAAGCCTCAAGCCAGTTCCTGATAACCAAACGAAGGCTCAAGTGAATCTGGCAAGAAGTACTTCCGTCACAACAACAGTCCACGGCCTAAACAAGTCAAGTCGGCAAGAGGTCCTTAGTTGGTCTCAGAAATTAAAACAGGTCATAGCCAGATAAGAGTCATTGCCGCAGAATGCCTCGTATGACCTTCATGCTTGAGGCTCCGACATTAGTTACGCACACTCACCGAAACTGTGAGGTAAACCCCGCTCTCACTGGGACTGCCTTTTGCTCCGCCGGTTCTTTCGGCGAAGATGTCCGTTTCGCAGGCTTGTCGGCCCGCCCTGGCGCGGTGCTGGGCTTGGGTTCAGGATGGGCCTTGGGAGGATGATTCTTAGACTGGAAGGTTTAGGGTGAGCCTCTGATTGAAGTTTAGGTTATGAGCTTCGGGTTGTCGAAGCTCCTCATGAATACAATACTAGGACATCTACTGCCATCAACACGAGGGGGTTCCCTGTGTTGTGTGAAACTCGCACATGAGGACTTATTGCTTTTGATTGGCTTATGGGCTTGTCGTTTGGGATTGGGTTTGGTGGTGAAGTCTCTTGGCTTGCGTTCGTGGGAGTGGCTCCTCATTCGGAAATTCAGAAAACATCCATGGTCAAGCAAGGCATCAAGCGGAGCAGATATCCAACCCCACAGCCCTCGATCCCTCGACCGTGAATTGCAGGGAGCGCCAGTAACACTAGCACACCCATCCTGGAAAATCTTTACGGGTTCCTGGCGGCTAGACTAGACCTTGAATTCGTTCTCCAGGTTTGAGAGCGCGCGCTGCTAACCAGATTTGCGCTTTAAAGGATCATGCCCGAAGTTGGGTAAGGCGAAACGTTAGTAGTAGTAGTAGTAGTAGTAGTAGTAGTAGTAGTAGTAGTAGTAGTAGTAGTAGTAGTAGTAGTAGTAGTAGTAGTAGTAGTAGTAGTAGTAGTAGTAGTAGTAGTAGTAGTAGTAGTAGTAGTAGTAGTAGTAGTAGTAGTAGTAGTAGTAGTAGTAGTAGTAGTAGTAGTAGTAGTAGTAGTAGTAGTAGTAGTAGTAGTAGTAGTAGTAGTAGGAGTAGTAGTAGTAGTAGAGTAGTAGTATAGTAGTAGTGTAGTAGTAGTAGTAGTAGTAGTAGTAGTAGTAGTAGTAGTAGTAGTAGTAGTAGTAGTAGTAGTAGTAGTAGTAGTAGTAGTAGTAGTAGTAGTAGTAGTAGTAGTAGTAGTAGTAGTAGTAGTAGTAGTAGTAGTAGTAGTAGTAGTAGTAGTAGTAGTAGTAGTAGTAGTAGTAGTAGTAGTAGTAGTAGTAGTAGTAGTAGTAGTAGTAGTAGTAGTAGTAGTAGTAGTAGTAGTAGTGTAGTAGTAGTAGTAGTAGTAGTAGTAGTAGAAGTAGTAGTCGTAGTAGTAGTAGTAGTAGTAGTAGTAGTAGTAGTATAGTAGTAGTAGTGGTAGTAATACCGTGATGGCGGTGCTGGTAGTGGTGGTGGCGGCGGCGGTGGCGGCGGCGGTGGCGGTGGCGGTGGCGGTGGCGGCGGCGGCGGCGGCGGCGGCGGTGGCGGCGGTGGCGGTGGCGGTGGCGGTGGCGGTGGCGGTGGCGGTGGTGGCGGTGGTGGTGGTGGTGGTGGTGGTGGTGATGGTGGTGGTGGTGGTGGTGGTGGCGGCGGCGGCGTGGGTGGCGGTGGTGCTGCTGCTGGTGGTAGTGGCCGGGACAGTGGTGGAGGTACTGGTGGTAGGAGTAGCAGTATACGTGTTGCAATAGCAGAAGCAGCAGCTAGAATCTAGAAGTAGCGGCAGGAGAAGAAGCTGCTGCAGCAGCACTGTCGTTGCAACATTGTTTGCAGCGAGATCATGATCATAGCTATCGTCATGGCACTTAAGGCCAGCGAAACAAATGCAGTGAACCAAGTTCGATCGAAACAAAGTCTCGGTCTGGATGTCATCATCATCGTCGTCGTCATCATCACAATCCTTCATCAAAGCAAACACCCGTACCTTATGATCTGGTGCGACTGTCAATGCCCTTCTCCCGCCTGTCTTGTCTTTCTTGTCCTTTTTCTCCTTCTTCTTCACCTGCCGATCTGCTGCAGTGGCTTCACGAGAATCTAAACACCCAAAACTCTTCAAGTAACCCTACTCCCCTTAAGAAGACCTACCATTCCTCAAACCCCCAAACCCAACCCCAGAACGCCCTTGAACGCTCCCCAAACTTCCCAAAAGATCCCTCCGTGGGCTGGCCTTGGCTCTTAGAGAGGCCGAGGCAACGTCTCCTCCACGCTCCGACCCGGCCTTTGCCAGGAGCTCCTGGGGCAATGGCTGTTAGTGCTTCTGCGGACCCATGATCGTGATTGCTAAAACGAAGTTAAAACACAACGTAAAACAGAGAAATATTCTAATACCATATGTTTGCCATTATTGCTTCTTGTTTGACAGGTACGTCTATATGTGCATGTGTACGTACATACACCAACCACATAAGTACTTACATACATGCACCCAAAAACATAAACATACCTATCTTCTGCATGTTTGCGTGTAAGGCGCGTTAGGTTTAGTAGGTTTCGGGGTCTTTAGGGCTTCAGGGTTGAAGGCGTTGGGCTTTGTGAAAGGGGCTTTGGTTTACGCGGTCGTGATTTGCGACTTGGGGCTTATCCGGCTTCGGGTGAAGGGGGTTTAGGGTTTACAAACATAAGTTTAGGGCGTAGGGCTTTTTAGTCTGTCACATGTTGACGTGACAGTTTAGGCTAGTAAGCTCTTTGCTGGAGTTCAATGCCGTGAGCCCTAGACCGTGCCCTATAGACACTACACCCTCGACCCAAGCGTTTAGAGAGAATCCCAACGTTTGCAAGAAGTAGGAATTGCAGGCTTAGGTTTGAGTCAGCTTCTAGATGCAACGTGTCTGCATTTAGCAGGTATGCGCCTCGACTCGAGTCACTCTAGTCTTGAGGTTTGGGGCTGGATAACCAGCCATGAGTCCTCGTGTCTTCCACACAACCCAACCACAAAGCCCTCAAGCACAAACAGGTCCCTCAAAACCTACACGTACACCCGCCGAAGCCGAGTCACTAAGGCCAAAAACCTTGAACCTCTAAACCCCCAAACCACAAACACACCCCATTCGTACTAGTTACTAAATCCTAAACACTAAATCCGAAACCCTGAACCCAGCCTTGCGGATCTTCTCCTTAAGCACGCTTTCCTGGGAAGAGACTGCACGAAACACACGTCGCTGAGGCTACGAATTTGGGTTTGGGGGCTTAGTAGCTTAAGGTGTGGGGTTCAAGGTTCCGAACCTAGTCGACTGAGAGCTTCCCAAATGATTGAAGCTTGGTCTTAAAATGCCAGTTTCTGCCAGCAAGTCCAAAAACAGCAGTGGGTGTCCCTGAAACTCGGCATGCTACAAGATCTCTTCAAGGACGGGGAGTGGGACAGCCCAAACGAAGAGACTGAATGAAAGACGGCGACACTTGTTCTGTACCGGGCCCTCGCATTTCAGGCCTTAGCCAGCCCTGAAAGAAGCTTGCTCGAAGATGTCTGTTTTTGTGGTGGGTCCGATGCTGACAACATGTGTCAAAGTCACAGAAAGATTTGCAGCTTGGGAGTAGCCTCCTATCATGTCCTACGTCCTACATCCTTGGCCCCCTGTGCAAAAAGGATCTGCAAGCCTCGGCTGCCTCGGCACCAATCGCAACACAGGAACTCTGGGTTCTGGAGCTCTGCGGGCATATCCGAAAATCCCACAAGATCTTCGTAGATGCTCCTGTACCAAGCAAGTGACTTACAACTACCTTGCTGCCGTCAACAAGCATCACACCCCAAACCTGCATGAATCGCAGGCAATGCCCAAGCCTGGGGAATCTAGTGCAGCCGCGAAATCACGAACATCCTTGGGCTAAGTACCCGAGACCTTCTAACCAGGTAAACAGAAGGTGTCTCTGTCTGAACAGGGAGCACGTGTTCAAGAAGCCCCCCTGTAATGAAGGACCCTCGGTCGAGTGCAGTTAGGCCGCTTTTTGGCGAGCTCTCTCCTGCTTTCGTTCTGTGGGTCCAGCCCATAGAGCCCGTAAGTACTGCCCCAGCACCAAAACCAAATGAAATGGCGGAGGGGTCATTATGTGGCTTGCGATGTGTTAGCTGAACTCAAGGGGTTACTGGTTTCTCGAGGTTCTATGCTCTGAGGGTTCGGGGCCACGGGACCTTGCAAAAACCAGGGTTCAGCATCGGGCGGCTAAGAAACGGGATCAGAGTGTGTGGACTTTAGGACCTTCAGCATGTAGGCTTAGACAACGGCTTGAGTCTTGAGGGCCTGAAGTCTAGTGTGGAGGGCTCACCGTCAGCTGAAACCACTGGCATGTTTGGTGCTACCACCTTTGTTGCGGGGATGGCCCTCTGCTGCAGTGTGGAGAGGTTCCTATGTTGATGGTGGAGTAGAGGCATATTCAGGCAGCTTGGTCTTGTCTGCAAGCTACAGAACCAATTTTCCGGAGCCTCGACGTCTGCTTGATTTGGGTGCTACAACTTGGATTACATGTGCAGAGCTCGACATCTCCCATCTGACACCAGCTGTAACACTCTGAAGTATGGTGAGAGAAGAATGAACAGTGTACCAGAGTTTCCCCACCGGACGCCCTGCAGCCCAGCTGGCCTGGACTTTATTGGCTAGTAAATCCCCAAGCCTGCCTTGCAAAGTTGAAGGTCCCCAGTTTAAGGTCTTGTGCCCTTGGAACCTCTCCCTTTGAGCTCTCGTGATCGGGGATTTAAAGTTTGAAGCTGCTGAAGCACGCGAAATAACCCAGGTAGGTATAGCTTCGAGCGCCTTACTGGCCTAAGTGCTACACGATTTTCATACCCAGCAGCGCAGAAGATTCACCCAACATGGTGCAATGTCGACTTACTCCGACGGTATGCAACCCAAGCTCATGTCTGACCGAGATCATCGCCGCAATATGACCCAGGGTTGAGGTATGCGGGTAGCTCGTCTTCAAACTGCTCACGATGTTCATGAAAGGGTTCAATTTACTGCAAACAGTTGAGGGCGAGTCCTGCTCTCTGACCTTTGCTCTCTCAAGATCCCAGACCATGCACAGACATGACAGTCGGTTTCTCTGAGACCTCGCTAATTATGCCTAATGTGAAGACATCCCAACATCCCAGAACTTGGACCTAAACCCCAAACCGAGTCCTCCTTTTCCGCCCTGCGCTTCATCTTTTCTGCCTAAAGGAAAGAGTGGCGCAAGGTTTCAAAGCCAACAAGGATTTGGAGTCGAGCTTGCAAGCTAGTCGTTTCCGGACTACGTCTTAATGACTCTAATTACTCTAATTTCTTAATATTCCATGACTCTAACCAGAGCATAGGACATCCAGCAAAAGCATGCTACAATTCAATATTTTTGCATGGCTGCAAACTAGTTTGCAGCTACACTGGATTAACGGTTAGTGGTTGCAGGGTTAGGGGCTCAGTTTGCTGCTGTACAACCGAAGGCTTCAGACTGCTAAACTCCCCACTCCCCACCCCCAAACTCTAAGCCAATTACCATGATTCTGGGTTTAGCTTGCAGTGTCCAAGAAAGGGAGGGCGCGCAATTCTCCAGTTCGACATAGGGGAGCGTAAACCTCTGGTTTCTGATCTCTTGAATAGAAAACCCTAAATTCTAAACCCTCACATCGTTGAAGACCGGACTTTCAACAAGATCTGTTTGTTTGATGTCATTTGGGTTTCGGTGATAAATCTTTTTTTTGCGCAGCGGGCCTTTGGCCTGGGCTCGCTACTTACTCAATTTGGGGCTTTCCCAGAGAAAGCCGGTGCTTCGAGTCCCTTTATCCAGACCAATATTCTCTGAAACTCGCATAATATGTCCATGCAACCTCAAAGATGTTGGATGCTCATTGTTCTCGCGATGGTGTTTTGCCTGGGGCGTTCGTCCAGGCCGGACAAGGTGTATAGCGTATAGGGCTGCTGCACAGTACCTACATGCTCGGCAGCCTCATAGCACAAGTGACTTCAGGACAACCCTAAGCCCTGATGTATGGAAGGTGTCACTCTCCAAAATACACACAGAGGACGAAGCGCTATCACTGCTTTGTGACGGCCACCCGATATTGCACACATCTGCTCAATCTGCTCCTTGGAGGGGGTTCTCGGGGTTCAGGTCTCTCGCACTTCCGGTTCTGCCATCCAAGGATTTCATCCTATGTCAATTCATGGAACCTTGAAACGATTGCAGCATGTCGTTCCCGGAAACGGGAAATCTCCAACTCTCGATAACTACGAAGTCAAGACTGATTTGGGGGGTTTAGAACCCCAGAACCTCGACACCTGCAGTCGGATGCGCACACTCCCGCCCACCTCTTTTGCAGTCAGGCTCTGCTTCTGCAGCTCCTCGTACGACGCAGGAACAAGGCTTGATCGTGGGATTTGGGTATCTCATGTCGCATGGCGGCTGAGGGTGTAGTTAATTTCAATCTTGCACACTTTCACGCCACGGTGTTCAGAATACGTGGGTCTCAACAAGTGGCCAGGAAGGGATAGAACACTAGAAGCGTATGTCTGTTTGTGAAAAACATACATATCAGCAGTCGCAGAACGCAATGATAAACGACTTGTCGTTTCATGGCACATCTTATGACCTATGTTTAACATTGCATTCTATGAGCGATTTGATCTTCAATTCTATCACTTGCTACGTCTTGCGTATCCTTTATGCTTAGTTTCTCTTTCTAGGTCTAGAGGTTCATAATATGAAGCGAGCATGATCGTTGACCTTTTTCGTTAATATACAGAAGTACAGTAAAGTGGATGCATGGCTTACGGATAAAAATCCACTGACAAATGGGAATGGAATCAGGTGTCGCTATAAGGTTTCACTCCTTAGAAACCCTTGAAGCCAGTCCTGTTGTAGTCTTTGCCTTGAGAAATTAAGACAATGCAACAGACTGAAGCGTGCTTAGTTTACTGCTAGACAACAGAGCGCAACAGAACGAACGTACCAAGATGAACCATACAAGGACATAGACATGAAGATAAAAAGCTTCTGGATGGAGTGTGGGTTAATGAAGAAAAACTACTGAAACCGCGTGTAATGTTCCTTTCATTGAACACGGCTCTGTTCATTGAAACGCAGCTCTAGGTTTGGTAATGAGCGTATGTACTTTGCTTCAACAGCTTTAAAAGCAAACGAAAGGAGCAAGAGTGCATGTCTAATAAGTCGTTGGAGTGCGCACAACACACATGAACGAATCACAACTAACGCCACATTTTAATCGTTAGAATGAAACAAAAAGGAGTGGCATGAAATGAAACGTTTGCGTGGTTTTGTCGTTACTCAAATGAGGGGCGTAAATTGGGAAGATGCTGACCTCATATTCTGTGCTCTGATTCTATCAACGAAAAGCGTAAACGAAAAGAGTAAAGGGAAATAAACAGACGAGACGAGAGGAAATTGAAAAGATCAAAGCACAATGAAAACCCAAAATGCTGTTCCTTCACCCATTACTTTTGTTTCGTGAGCGCGTTTGTTTATCCACTTGTATATGTGGTCTGGGCTTTTACCATGCGGTGCTTTGTGACAAAATCTGACATAATGAAAGCAATGATCAAGCAACAGTTATCTTAATCGGTTCAATATGAGGCCGTACATGAAGACGGCCAAACATGGCATGACAAGAATATGAAGGTTTGTATTCTTTACCGTTCAAAAGCTTTTGTCTTTTCCATTACATGTTGTTGAGAGATGAAAATTATCGAATGTGTTTTCCTCTAATACTTAATGGAATATATAAAAACGCGTACACTTCGTCGTCTTGCTTAGTTGCATGGAGATAATGTCCTTGTAAAATAACAAACATATGAAGTGCAATGAAACAAACGAAACAACGTGAAGCGCCTGTTCATCTGCTTCATTACATGAAATGCGTCTATATGCACTACCTCCACGTGGTCGGCGCGGGGCCTCTTTGGGCAGCGAAAGGTGCACTGTTTGCTTCGTCTGAATGCTTGAAACAAGAAATAATTAAGATCCCTGGGGGGACAAAGATGACTTGCCGATTGGGCAACTACAAAAACAAAGAAAAGATGCATGTTAAAGAGGCCGATGAGCCCCTTCTTGAAGCTGGTGCACTCCAGCGAAAGGCCCCTGAGCCTTGTAGAGTGAAGCGGCACGCTTCACGGTGTAAAGGTTTTGGTTTTGGGATCTTCTGGGTCCTGGTGTTTTTCGGGTGTTTTCCTGGGGTGAAGGGTTTCAATCTCATGTCGGTTGGGGCCCTCTCTGCCAGCTTAGATCACCACTGCCCTTCGGGCTTCCTCTGTAGAGTTTCACACGGTGGCGTTCTTGTTTCGCCATGGCTTGCTGGAACCAGTGCAGAGTGGGTTGGCAGTGGCAATCGTTCCAACGGTTCCAAGGAATTGTTCAGCATCGATTTTGATGAGGTTCCCTCGTTGGAAGTCGATGCCTTAGTCTCTGTAGTTAGGGATGTGCTTGTTGGCTTACCAACGAGCGATCAGTTTCGTCATGCTCTGGACGGTGCTGGCTTACCCGCACAGCTCAGAATGACAGTGTTGTTTCTTTTTGCCCAACTTGGCCTGGGCCTTATTAGCTGTTTCGGCTGGGGGTGCGAAGCCACTCCTCAGACTGAGGTTAGCACTCACCCACCAACCGTGACCAGGGTACAGAGGCCACGAAGGAGGGTTGTTTTTAGATGTAGGCGGGTTGGTAATGTTCGCGTGAAACCACCAAGGGTGAAATGCAGGTATCGCGCTAACTTGCTGAGGCTCCGTCGCTTGCATTATTGGTCGCTTGGTAGACTTCCCTGGCCCAAGAGCAAAGCTCAGCCAGTGGACACGTCTGCAACTGAGGTCATCGATGGTGGCATTGGCCCTACTTCCCAGAATGGTCAAACCTCCTCCCGAAACCCAGGTCTCGACATCTGGATTTGGACCCGATGGCTTCTTGAACCATTGATTAACGTGCTGTTGTGCATTGGCTTCAACCCTTATGTTGCAGTGAGGATTGGAGAAGCTTCAAATCCAGGTCCGAAGGGAGGCTCAAGGCGCACGGAAAGGATTAGGAATGAGAAAAACAATCACAACATGCCGGAGTTGTCTCTGGCCACCATGCAGCAAATCGCTAACCTTGTTATCCAAACTCTACAGGGACAAGGTCTCCATGTTGCCCCCCCGACGCCTCCATCCACCGACGAGGACTATCGTGCCTGTTGCACAACACCTGAGGCCAACGAGGACTCGTGGTACGAGGCTCAGTGTGATCAGGAGGCAGGTTGGGGATACAATGCATGGAACCACTACCCACATGGGGAGTGGGACGATGCCGGTTATGACCCGGAAACCGGCTGGTGGGACCCCGCTGCTTGGGAGCAGTGGAAGTCTACGAAAAGGCATCGTCGTAAGAAGTGGCAGGCTCAATCCGGCGATGATGGGGTTAATGAGCTTTGTGATTGGGATTGGCCCCAGTTGCAGCCTAAACCTTCTGATCCCCCCGAGGGCCCCAAGGTTAAGAAGCGCAAGGTCATTGGGCCCCCGGTTGAAGCGCAGAAGCCTCAGACTCATGGTAGCAGATTTGCGGCCAGGATTGTACCAGCTGAGTGGAATTGCAAACCTTCCCTCACTACCCCGAATCAAATCCAGCATGCTTTGGAGGCCGGCAACGAGTTGCCCGGCAACTTGGTTATCAGCCGTTCTGATGAAACGCTCGAGGTCCTTCAAAACCTCGTTGCCGCGTTTGACGTTCACGAGGCTCTCACTCTCGCTGAGGTTGCGCCGGCTAGCAGTGCTGAGCCGGCGTGTGCGGTGTGGTGGCACGGAGCTGCGGGCTCTGATGCTAAGCCGAATCGGGTTAAACTTAAGACCGTGCAGCTCACTGTGGTTTCTGGTCCCGAGCCTCGGCCCCCTCTGACGGTCAACTTCCGAGCGAAACCAAAGGTTGATATTTGCACTTTGCGCGTCCTCGCGCCGTGCCAATATCGCCGACTCTTCATTGACGCTGACGCGTGGGACAGTCCCACCAGCATCATTTCTGAGATAGCTAAAAAGCTTGGTAAACCTGTGAGCAACTTTACGGGTGGTAAGTGGCAAAACGTCACCACGACCAAGGGCACCACGTTGCAAGGTCACATCCGTATCCCTACTGTCATTGCTTACCTTGTGGTGATACAAAGTGGTTTCAGGGGTATTTTTTACGATGATTGCCTCCAAAAGCCCTTCGCCTTCATGTGTTGCTTGGGTCAAGAGGACTGAGGACTCATTTGAGGAATATTTTCGCACTGTTCAGGCGGTTGCGGAAGACCAGGGAAAGCCGCTCGCCATTAGGCAGCATGGGTTGAGTGACTTGGGCATTGTTGGTGGAGAGGTCACTTGGGACACCCCCGACAAGCCCAAAACCTTTGTCATGCATGGGGCCCCGGCCGCTTGGGATCAGCATGATGTTGTCCACCTGTTGCAACAACAACGATGGACTCAAGCCTGTGTGCTCACTAGGCGCCGAAGCTGGACCAAAGGTGCCACTCCCGAATGGGTCTTTCGGGCTAGTCCCCCGGCTGGTACGGCTCAGGACTGCTTTTGGTGCTACTCCGACGTCGACTGTTGCGTGACTGTAGCCCCTGAAGCCCCCAGAAAGCGCAAGGAGCTCAAACGTGTTGATGTTTCGGGCCCTAAAAGGCGCTGGGTTGACAGGGATGTCCCTTCGGATCTTCAGGAATGTTGGCTTGACACCCCAATTGATGTCGACAATCACCCAACCGGCGGGGATGACGATCTCACCGCCACCTGGCCCGACACTGACGAAGAATGCTCTAAACCTAGGAGTCGTTCGCCCCGTAGCCGTAAAGCCAAAAACCGCCCTCTCAAGGACGAAGATGGCTCCCTGCTTGAATCTGCGCCAGGTTGGTGCATCAAAGACGCCGGTGGCACCGGCGATTGTGGGTTCCGTGCTATCGCTGCTGCTATTGCTGCGAACCAAAACAAAACACTTTCGTCCGAACAGCTGCTCCGCGAAGCTAGTACTCTGAGGTTGTATGCTGTCAGTCATCTTACCAAGCACAAAGATGACAAGGAGGGTGGCGCCGAGGCTTGGGCCCCAGACCCCGAGGACACGTCCCTTGAGTGGGGCGGTGACACGCCTCCTGTCTCGTATGCTGAATACCTTAAGAAGTGCGCTCGCAGGGATGTCTGGATTGATGGTTACATGCTTCGAGCGTTAAGCGAAAGGCTTGGTGTTCCCATCATTGTGTGGTTCCTTGCCTCCAATGGGGTTTGGCTTCGCCATGTGGTTGCCCCTTGGTTCTTTCAGGGCTATGCCCAAACCACCAAGGACCGCCTTCCGGTGGTTGTTGTGCTTAAGGCAAAGCACTACAGGGCCCTCCTCAGAA